TCAGACTCCAGGGTATGCAACAACTTCTAAGCAGCTAATACTAAAGAGGCCCAAAGAGATACTCTCTGCTGATACAGCTCGTGCCTGGAACCCACCAATATATTTTTAAAGACTAAAACACATTAAGCAGATATAAAAACAATCCTATAGAGTGATGGGTTTAAAACAATTTTCAGCATTTCATCAGTCAACCTAAGAGAATCCTCCCCATCTGCCCAAAAGCAATAAAGCAAGTAAATTACATGGCTGTCTCTTTCCCTACCTTCTTAGCAACATGCTTAACTTTCCTCTGTGTAATAAATACATGTCCCACAAAGGTCATTCATCACTACTCCCAAGACAAGGAGTCCTTGCTTTCTCATTCTCACACTAAAGCACAGAAAAAAAAAATAAAGGAGTGGGAGGAGATGATCTTCTAGAACAGAAGTTATTTTCAGGGCTCTGTAGCTCCCAGGCATCCCCAGTCTCTGGTAATAGCCTGATAGCATTTAAAGGAGCAGCTGTGAGACTGATCCTGACGGGAGCCGAGCACTTCTGATGGACAAGCCTATAGAAGGACTGGTGCTGGAGCGTTGCTGGTTTAACCTCCTTATGCATATACTGGATGTCAGTTGTAAAGGATCCTTTGCTGATACGCATGCAAGAGATGTGGGCACACTAAGTCTATTTGGTTTGTAATGTTGCCTGGTAGTTTTAGAGCCTGGGTTGATTGCTGCCTGTGAAGTGGGCTTGCTACCCATTGTGCAGGTACTCAGCAGCTGTTCTCAAGATCAGACACTGGCTTGGGAGATGCTGAACAATATCTTCACTCAAGGAAAATCGCTTGTCATTTGGATCTTTTTTCCCCTCACTGAGAACCCAAAATACCCTAGTGAGGGACAGCACTCAAGTGTATTTAGTACCTAGAATCAAATGCAAGTTAGATACGTGGTGGTAAATGTAAGATGCATATATAATCTCTGATGGCCACACTCTTTAATGCATTTATCCATATAATGCCCTGTGAGATAGTGTGGTGTTATCATCTCCACTACACAGAGGAGGAACTGAGGCAAAAAGTAGCTAAGTGACTTGCCTAAGGTCACAAACAACATTGGTGCCAGAGCAGTAATTTGAACCCAAATTGTCTCAAATTAGTGACTCTCCTAACTACTGGACAAGGCTTCCTTGTCTGCTAGGCACCCTGTTCTCTGTGGTTGATTGATTCCAACCTTCAAGAGAAAGGTTATATAGGGTCAGTTACTCATGCCTGTCCACTCTTAACATCCCCCATAAGTATGTATTTAGGCTCCCCAGTATCATCCAAGATTGAAGACTAAGTACCATGTTACCTACAGACGCATTGTTTTCAGATGAGCTTTTAACAATTATGACATTCCTGGGTTCTATTAAAAGAAACATTCAACACAGACATTTAACAACAGATGCTCATTAGATGTGCATCAGAAAACCACAAATGAAAAGTCTGCAGAAAGTGTTTTGCCACACTGATCATTTTGTGCCATGACATTGCTCTCAGCACATGAAGAGACCGTCTGCACAATGTGCCAACCTGGTGTTTGGTTCAGCAACTCCCCCAGTCACTGACAGTAAATTTGGTCTTCACTTTCCTTCAGTGATTTCACCAGGTCACAATATCAAGCAAGGTTGTATTTTCTTCACATGAGTCAGACAGGGAATATGAAAATTGCTCCACAGCCACAGAGGAATGTTTTGTGGTTCACACTCTCATGGTTTCAGTCTGGGCTGCCTGAGTTTTACTGCTACAATCACTCCATGTAATCTGCTAGCAGACTAAAAATCTGAAGTCTGAACTTTGATTTCATTGAAACTGTGACAATGTGCAAGAGCTGAAGATCTGCCCCAAAAGTAATCTCTAGCTATGGCTCCCCAGGTCCTAAACAGTCACCCAAAGACTTGTTCCTTCTACACTTCCAAGAGCCTTTTCCCTTGATCCCATGCAGTGCTGCCTGCCTACACCTCCATCTAGGGTTCCTGCTGCTACCTCTTCACCCTTGTAGGCTATACCATTATCCGGTCATCCTGCTTGTGTCCCTTCTCAGCTGCTTTTACATCTCACCTGTTCTGAGGCTGAAAGGTTGGCTCTGTGCCTTGTTCACATGTGCCTTCACTGCCTGTTCTCTGGCCCAAGCCAATCTCCTGGCTTGCTCACTCTGAAGTCTTCACTGCCCTTCTTAAATTATGACCCACTACACTTCATTGTGGTCTCCTGCCTCCAGTCAGTGCTCTCCCATTCTGCCCCAGCTCAGCCCAGCAGCTGGAATCAGAAGAAGATCAGTTTCTGTTAAAAACTCTCATGTTATCAATGGTGCCTTTTATACACATTAAAGCCCTCCATATTAAAAGGCTCATCTCTTTCACAAGGCCAACAGAGCAAAACAAATGTGAAGTCTCCTGACCCTGCCAGTGTGAGATGTGATAACTCTAAACAAAGAAACATTCTCAAAAAAGAAACTACAGCTAAAGCTTCAGACTAGCCAGGCTAGGGCTTTGAGGCTGGCCTCTGTGCCAGGCACAGCACAGTTCTATAATGGCAAAGGCAGCTTTAAGATATATTGGTAAGGCACAAAGGATAATACACCAAGCTGCTCTGTGTTGTGTCAGCTACCCAGGACCCCAAGGACCATGCCAGCATCTACCTAGGTATACCCACTGCTCCAAGAACTCAGACAAGGGACAAAAAAGCACTTGGGGCAAGCAGCTTTGCACTAGGGAACTGGTGTAAATTATACTAGTGCAAGGCAGCATACCACCCCCAATATTTAAATTAAATTTTTTATTTATTAATATCTCAGAGAAACTCCCATATGCAAACAACCAGAAAGAACAGTTTCACTTTGCAGAAGCTGAAGGAGGAAGTATGGAAAATTCACCTAAACAGCTAACTTTACCCATGACACAGCAGCCAGCCCGCCTCCACCAGAACGCTGTAATATTTTGCAATTTTCCATGCAAGTTATTCAAGCTCTGTGTAAGTGTCACAACTCAAAGTATTTCAACTTTGAATGCAAACACTGTTTTCAAAAAAACCATGTCCTGGTTTTTGACAAGCTCTATTAAATAATGGTCAATTAAACCCTGAAGTCTCTGTGTGGATGAGGTGCTGTTTGTAATCCCTGTTCTAAAGTGTATGGAAGGTGAAGCACAAAGAGAATAAGAGTCTGCTTCTGTGAAGTGCTGGGCACTTGTAGCATCCACCAATTTTTATTGGAGTCCTCAGTGTGCCGCACCCCACAGTTCCCAACCCTGAAAGGAGGCAGCTTCAGCCTCCACTGAAATCTCTGGGAGTTGAAATTGCTCAAAAACACATTCATTTCTGACTCAGAGTCCTGTGCTTTAAAGCAGTCCAAAAGTGCATCAGAGGCAGAGAAATCAAGCAGATGGAAATTAGCATGTTGCAGACAAAAGGAAGTTAGCTAAAGGAAAAACAAGTGCCCTGTAGTAAGAGTAGTAAAAATATCTAAGTAGGTCACTACATAGCCACACTACAGCTGAGTGCACAGGGAATCTTGAGGGCATATAACTGAGCAGCATGACGAAGTCTCACATGCTACAAATATGACCCTTCTATAATATGAGAAAAGGCAGCTCCTTCCAAAGTTTAACATTGATTTAATTGCACACAAATCTTCATTAAATCTCGGTGCATATTAGGGTAACACTCAAGATGACATACACAGATAAAACGAGTATATAAAAACAAAACTAGCACATTATTGCCATTTATATAATCAATATAAAATTAAAGATGTGATTTTAATTACTAGGCTGCATTTAAACCTTCTAAATGGCCTCCCAAATTTACAAGCCCAGTATCTTTGCTAATTCAGCTTTTTTTTGAAGAGCTTCTTCCAGAAAGTGTTGAGTCTTGATTCCTCTGAGGGCTGAAAAGGGTATTTAAGTGATGATTCTTACTTATACACTTATACTCTGTTATCAGAGTACCCACACTCTCATCATTTAAATATATTCATTCAGTGCTGTAGCAACGAAGTTTGGTGCCTGGCGCAGAGCCTGCAGCAGCAGCCCACCCTTGCCCTGCGCAGAGATTCGGGGGGCATATGCTTTCCCAGGTGCAGTGGCGGGAACCACCCTTCCCAGTCCCTGAGCTCCCCCAAATGAGCTGCTTGCGGCTCTATCCTGTGCCCTGTCCCAGCTGGGCAGCACCTATTGGTGCTCCTGCGCTTCGGCGCCCAGGGAGCTCGCCCTTGTATTCGTTGTCGCAGCCCCCGATGAGGCAGGGCAGTGCTATCTTCTCCCTTTTGCAGATGGTGAACCGTGCTACAGGGAAGCCATGATCACATCCTAAAGCCGGGACCTGAAACTGAGTTTTCCAAGTGCTAGGCTAGGCGCCGAGCTAGGCTAGGCGCCGAGACATCATGAGTGTAAACCCCAGTCCTGTGGCTGCCTCTTAAGGCCCCCACCTCTGTCCATCGTTCCTGCAACCAGAGCTTGGAGACACCACCTCCAACGTCATGCCCAAGGGCCTCTTGATGCCACGTTACCTTTACGCGCCGCATGGCGACCCCAGGGGACGAGGCACGGCAAGCAGCTGCTCCAGTGCCAGCTCTCCCCATTAAACTGTGACCCTCGGGAGAGCGAGTGCTAGCTCATGGCCTCTGCTCCCGCAGCCGGGCGGCTTCGTGGCAATCTCAGCTCCAGGGACTGGCTAGGAGCCCCGAGCCTGCAGCGAGGAGAAGCCAATGCCAGGAGCGCTCAGCCCCGCCCGCCAGCCACATCCCAAGAATGCTGCAGTGAGCTGCTGATGACATCACGCCACAGCACAGTGACGTGGTGGCGGATACATGACACAACACCCCTGAAGGCACAACTCGCCAACCCTCCTCCACTCCCACGCCCGGAGTCGGACGGGCCCACTTCCCCCCGTCCGCCAGTCACGTGACACCGCTCACGGCTGACGTCACAGCCGCAATCGGGCGAGTCACCATGGCGCTCGCGTATCGGCGCAGCGCGCATGCGCCCTCGAACCTCCCCACCATAGAGTTCTGTCGCGGCTATAGAGCGCCGCGAGGGTACCCGGAAGTGGGACGTGCGCTCGGCCGGCCGGGAAGATGGCGGAAGTGGAGTGAGTGGGGGACAGGGGTCGCCGAGGGCAGTGAGGGCGGGGCCGAGCCGGGCCGGCGGTTCTCCCCCCAGGCCACCCTGTCAGAGCCTGCCCCGCGCTGCCAAGCGGGAGCCCCTGGTTCTGCAGCCCCTGCCGAGCCCCCAGGTGGTGGGTGGCTCAGGGTGCCCCCGGCCGTGGCGAGCATCGGTCCTGTGGCGCGCGGTCCCACAACGCCCGGCGTCGTCCTGCTCCCTCTAACTGCACCCGTGTTGTCTTGGCAGGGTCCCCAACGCCACTCGAGATGCGCTCAATGCCACCCTGCGTGCCACGCTGGCGGTTACCACCAAGCTGGTGGTGCCCACGCCTGCCAAGCCGATCCTTCCTGTGCAGACTGGAGTCGAAGCGCAGCAGGAGGAGCAATCCAGCGGCATGACTATATTTTTTAGCCTGCTTGTATTAGGTGAATGCTTATGCATCAACGGGATGCGTGCGGTAGCCGTGTGGGTCTGAAACCAAAACAAATCTAGAGCTCTTGGTTCAGAGATGATGCCTTTTATTAGACCAACTAGGAAATGGCAGAAAAAGAGAATTTTTGGCGGTTTCCGAGTTGGTCTAATAAAAGGTATAATTTCTGAACCAAGAGCACTAGATTTGTGCATACTGGTCAAGAGTCGTCTTATTTGCTGTGTAGCGTGTTCTGCATCGGCCCTCAGTCCTGAGCTTAGGGCATAGTTAATTCTTCTGTGTTTCTCCTCTTAAACCCCTAATTATGGAGTAGTTTTCATGTATGCCAAGTATTTAGGAAAGTGGGGAATGCTGGATTATGTGCATGAATGAAGTATACGAACAAGCCAAGTGTGAACCTGTAGAATAACTAAAGATCACCCTGGACTTCACGCCATGTGCACCAAGCATAAGGCACAGTGGGTTTTTGACCTTGCTTTCTGTAATATGAGCACATAGCATGTGGATACATTTTTTTAAAAAATCTACTATAACACTCCACCATATGCCCTTTTTTCCTAGAGAAGGGATGCTAGAACACGTGACAGATGTTAGCAGCACTGTCAGAAGGTCCACAGGCCCAATGGTGTTGAGGTTGGTAAAAGACCCTATCTACTTAGAATTATTGAGTGTGAATTGAGTTAATTTGTGTTCAGCTCTAGTAAGTCATGGGCAGTTTGTTCCTTTGCATGCAGATTCAGTTATCCAACTTGCAGATTCAGTTGTAATAGAATGGGTATCTGTACATGATAGTTGCACAACCAACTTGTCAGAAAACAGGTCCATGAGAAGCCGCCAATCTTCCCATCAAAACTTGGGGATGTGGAGTACATTTAGGCTTGACAAAACTCAATTTTTATTTTTCAATAATTTCAACAGCTAAAAGTCAATGTTAGTTTATAAGCATTTATTTCAGTTTTTATCTCTTTAAATTTTCAGGATTACACAAAATTAGGAGTTTGGGGGGCAGACAGTTTAATCATAATAGTATACTGTTAAAGGCTTTATAAAAATGGCATTTCAGAATATAAAAAGTGAATATCCATAAATCAGTAACTCATACCTGCTTTAAATTATTCTGTTTATTCTTCAGGAAACAGGCACATAGGCAGGGACCAGAAGAGAGGGCAGTGGTATTCCCAGAGCTCTGGGAACATGGGGTGAGGTAGTGGCTGCCTTCATGCAGGACCTTGCTGCCACCAGACTGGAGCTTCACATACTGTTCCCCCTTCTCTCTGGGTTTTGGGTAGGGGTTTGTTTAGGTAGCCTGTCGTCTCACTACAGTAGCATCTGTGAAGGAGCACCTAATTGCTTAATTGACAAGTCATTAGTCAGAAAGGAGCAGCTAATAGCTTAATTGAAGTATTATTAGGCCAACATTTCCCAACCAGTGTGCTGTTAGGCACCTCCAGGTGTGCTGTGGCATTTTGGGCTGGAGTCACACCTTCTGCCTGCCTGGAGCCCCACCCCTTGCCTGCTGCTGCTGTGGCTCCAGCCAGGCAGGGGGCATAGCTCCAGCCCAATATGCCATCCGGCTGGCACTGCACCACCCCTCCCTCCTCTGGCATCTGGCTGGCCACGCGCCACCTGACTCCCCCCACTCTGTGTCCAGTATGCTGTGGTGCTTTTTTATTTAGGTAAGTGTTCTGTGGGCCAAAAAAGGTTGGGAAATGCTGTATTAGGCTGCCCATTGTTTTCCTGTTTAATCCCTCTGCGCTCTGTTCCTCCTCTCTTTCTGCTGCCTAGTAACAGGAATAAGAATTCTGTTACAGTCCCCTTTCTATAAGTTTTGATTATTACTGCTGGAAATAGTTTCTGCAGGTCTGTGACTGAGATGAAATTGCCATTTATCAATGTTTATAATATGAATCCTGCCAACCCTAGGTATATTGATGTTTGTTACTTCAAAGCAAGTCAAAACTAACAGGGTTTTAGCTTGTAGCTGTGTTGGTATAACCTCAAAACTAGCAGGTAACTTTAGAGTGTTTAAAGATTTTTGTCATACCTTTTGTGTATTTATTAATATAAGCAGAGGCCCCCACCAAAGCAAAGCCCATTAAATCACAGAATCATAGAAGTTGGGTCGGAAGGGACCTTGTAGATCTTCAAGTCCGACCCCCTGCCCGGCCGGGAGAAAAGACTGGACTCAAATGAGTCCAGCCAGGTAGTCATCAAGCCTCTTCTTAAAGATCCCAAGGGTAGGAGCCAGCACCACTTCCCTAGGAAGTTTGTTCCAGCTCCTAGCCACCCTAACCATAAAGTAGTTCTTGTGGATGTCTAATCTAAACCTACTCTCTAATAATTTGTGTCCATTGTTCCTTGTCATGCCAGGGGGTGCTAGGGGAAACAGTGTCTCCCCTAAACCCTTCTGGTCCCTCCTAGTGAGTTTATAGACAGTCACCAGGTCCCCCCTCAGCCTTCTCTTGTGAAGGCTGAACAGGTTTAGGTCCCGCAGTCTTTTGATGTAGGGTCTGCCCTGTAGTCCCCGGATCATGTGGGTAGCCCTCCT